ACCAAGTTACATGCTAACATCTACAGAAATTTATATTTAAAAATGATTTTCAGGGCGGCACCTGTGGCTCAAGGAGTAGAGTGCTGGCCCCCTATACTGGAGGTAGCGGGTTCAAACCCAGCCCCGGCTAAAAAACTGCAAAAAAAAAAAAAATGATTTTCAGGCTCGGCGCCCGTAGCTCAGCAGTTAGGGTGCCAGCCATAGGCACTGAGGTGTGCAGGATCCAACCCAGCCCAAGCCTGCTAAACAACATTGACAACTGCAACAACAACAACAAAAATAGCCAGGCATTGTGGCAGGCGCCTGTAGACCCAGCTACTTGGGAGGCTGAGGCAAGAGAATCACTTGAGCCCAAGAGTTAGAGGTTGCTGTGAGCTGTGAAGCCATAGCCCTCTACCAAGGGCAACATAGTGAGACTCTGTCTCAAAAAAATAAAAATATAAATAAATAAATAAATAAATAAATAAAATGATTTTCAGGGCCTGCCAAGATGGCTAGGAGGATTACCTGAGCTCAGGAGCTTGAGACCAGCCCAAGCAAGAGTGAGACTCCATCTCTCCTATAAATAGAAAAACTATCCAGGTGTTGTGGTAGGCTCCTATAGTCCCAGCTACTTGAGGATCTGTTGAACCCAGGAGTTTGAGGTTGCTGTAAGCTATGATGATGCCACAGAACTCTATCCAGGGCAACAGAGTTAGATTCTCTCTCTCAAAAAAAAAAAAAAATACTACTAATAATAATTTTCAGTGCTCTTTCAGCCAATCATTCAGGTTCTTGTTTGCTAATACTAAGAACAAAGAATTGTGAATCACAATTCACAAGAATGTTGACCCAGTCACTAGGATCATTTGCTTTCTCATTATTTGGAAAAGCTCTACTAAGACTTAGTGATTATTATACTACTTACATTTAGAGATGTTTGATTTATAGGTAAGGGCTGGGTGGGGTAGCTCACACATGTAATCCCAGCACTTTGGCACTTTGGGAGGCCAAGATAGGATGATCACTTGAGGCCAGGACCAAGTTGTCAAGACCAGCATAGACAACATGATAAAACTCCATCTGGACAAAAAAATTTTAAAAATTAGCTATGGGACCAGGCACGGTGGCTTACACCTATAATCCTAGCACTCTGGAAGGCCAGCATGGGAAGATCATTTGAGCTCAGGAGTCTGAGGTTGCAGCGAGCTATGATGATGCCACTGCACTCTAGCCAGGGTGACAGAGTGAGAAGGAGGTGAGACGAGGTGAAACAAGGCAAGCCAAGAAATAAAAGGAAAGAAAACAAAAGAGGAAAGAGAAGAAGAGGAGCAAGTGCTTTGGAGACAGTGGTGGTACAGGTTGCATTTCTTGCATTTCTTTTGGGAAAAGAGAAAACAGTCCACAGGCGCATTCTGAGACCATCAGCTTTAGGAGACAGTCCAGCTGAAAGAGGGAGATGTGGAACTTGATTCTTTTAAAAATCATCCAGGCTTGTCGTGTCCCCTTAGACA